CCCAGGACATAGGAGCCGCGGAGGTAGCTAGTTCCAGGGCGGCCGGCACCCCTCAAAGCGTCGCCTAATGGCAGCGGAGTCAAGCGAACGCAATGCGGCAGGATCGCGGAAAACCCCTGATACCGCACTATTGACTGCATCCGCTGCATCAGCGTCAAACGCGGGGGGCTCGGACAATGCGCCCCTCCCCTCGCGCCCACTGGCCGCGGTGAAATCAGAAATCTGAGACGCCGCATTCCCAATTGCCCGCGAAGGTGAATACTCTTGAGTCTGACTATCCAAATCCCGCGCGAGCTCGTCAGCGCAAAGCGCGCGACGAGCTTCAAAGGTAGGCCTGCTCGAAGTGCCCCCGCCCCCGCAATGTCCGCCCTCTCCCCCGTAGCGGCCAGGAGCCAGACGTCGATGGCCACCCGCTGACGGACCTACACTCGCCTCGCCGGGAGACACTTGGACGGGCGAGCTGCAACGAATTCCTGCAATTTTGAGCGCTGGAACAGCTGGCCATTCTGGGTCATCCGAGGGAGACCCAGACGCACGTTTGAGACGCGATCTCAATTGCCTAGGCCGCGAGAGGGATACCTGAGAATCAAACTAAGAGAGGGAGGCGGGAGTTCATTCCCTGGAGAAAAGCTCGAGCGATGCAATCCCGAAATCTACATGTCTTCTTCGATGCATGGGGGCCTTGCGACAGGCCCCCCCCCCCCTGCACATGCCCCCGTCGGACTCCGCTTCGCGCGCGACTCCGCCAGCCCTCCGGCGCTCTCCGGCGCGGGCGTCATTTCGGCCCGGGCGCCACGAGGCTGGGCAAGGGATTTATATTGTAATAAAAGGTATTAATGTCAAAAAAAAACTGGGGCCCTGGAAAGAGCCCGTAGGGATCCTCGGCGATCTTCGCGGGCGAGGCGCGGTTGTCGGCGGTCATGCGCGGGGCGGGCGCGTCGGCCTGCGCCGCGAGGGTGCTGGGCGGACTCGGAACTTGCACCACCGCTGGTTGCTCGCCTGACGATCCACTCGGGACGGGCCCGCTCGGCGGGGCCGCGGTCGCACTTGGGGACAGAGAAGCAATGGTGACCGCCATCTGCTGCTCCGTCGCATACTGCTTCTCCATTAGTAGTTTCATCCTTCCACTGAGCTGCGCAACCTCGCTAGATGGCGTCGACGACTACGGCGGCTGCGTTGCCCCGACTTGCTGTGGAAAAGGCGGCATTGGCATGAGAAGCGGAAATCTCATTCTGCCGCTTGTCGCCCGGGCGTGGCTCGACTGTCTCGGGGCCGGAGGTAGCGGCGGGAAACGAGGTGTTAGACTCAGCCCGCGGACCCACTCCAATGCGCGCGCCAAACTGCCCTGCGACCCCTTCTTCCCCAGTCATATAATCATCCAACTCTTCGAGCTCGTTGATAGCTGCCTGCCACGCATGTAGGTCGTTCTCGCTCTGCCTGTAGTCGGACTGGAGCTCTCCCAACTAGCTATGTAAGTTATTGATGTGGTCCTGACACTTGTCGCGCTTGAACTTCAAACTTTGTAGCTGATCTCTCAACTTCTCCGTCGTGCCCATTATATACTTCAAGCACGATAACTCACGGACCAGGGCCGACGTGTCATCTTTCCCCTGCGTTGCGAGCAGTGGTAATGAGCCTGCCAATGGCGAACATGCGCTGCTTCGCCTTGGCTTCGTAGCTCTTCAAACCAGGCATATCTGTGGTCACGCGATGATATCCCAACCATCGCGTTGCTTCGTGTGCCTCTGACCTTTTCGTTGTCACCGTTTTGCCAATCAACTGTTTGATTGCCTGCTCTTCCTTCTTGATATCCTTATGTTGGTGGTCCTGCTGAGCTGCTCGACGCGCACGACTATGATCGTCGCGCTCTTGAGGACGCGGCGCAACACGATCCTCCCATCCACGACCGCACAGACACTGCCAATGATGACCTTTAACATACCTGCCGCATGGGCAGTCCCACATCAGCTGGGGTCCTCCACGGTTCATCACAAAGAGGGGGGAGCTGTCGTGGTTCGCTAACAAGGATTGTGCTTTCGATACTGCAATCAATACATGTGCGCGGGTACGGGCGGCGCGCCTGCGGCGGTGCCACGCTGGTGAAATGGCCGTCGTGAAGTACGATGATGGGTCGCGGCTTCTCTGCAGGCACGCTGGGGTCCTGGCGCACTCCTGGGCGAGACGTCTCTCCTCCTCCTCCTTTTCCTCCTCCTCCTCCTCCATTTCCTCCTCCTCCTCCTCTTCCTCCTCCTCCTCCTCCTCCTCGTCCTTCTTCTTCTTCTGCTTAGTATTATTCGTCTGATTCGTCGTCTTCTTCTCCTCACTATGCTTATTATTATGGTTACTCTTTTTCTTCATAGCCTTAGTAGTAGTAGTAGTAGTATCACACGTATTAGTAAGACTATGATCAGCATTATTATCATTAGTAGTATCATTATTCTTATTAGTATTAGTATTCTCGTTCGACGTCTTCTTATTAGTATTAGTATTATTGTCATTATTATTATTAGCATTATGATTGATTGAGTATATAATATGTGTACTATCATTATTAGCCTTATTACTATTAGTAGTATTAGTATGATTATTATTGTTATTATTGTTATGCGTCTGCTTATTCTTATTATTATTCCTCGTCCTCCTCCTCCTCCTCCTCCTCTTCCTCCTCCTCCTCTTCCTCCTCCGCCTCCCCCTCCTCCTCCTCCTCTTCATCCTCCTGATCCTCCTCGTCCTCCTCCTCCTCCTCCTCCTCCTCCTCCTCCTCCTCCTCCCTCCTCCTCCTCCTCCTCCTCTCCTCCTCCCCCCTTTCCCTCCTCCTCCCTCCCTCCTCTCCTCCCTCCCTCCCCTTCCTCCCTCCTTCGTCCTCGTCCTCGTCCTCGTCCGTCGTCCTCGTCGTCCTCCTCGTCCTCGTCCTCGTCCTCGCCCTCCTCCGCCTCCGCCTCCTCCTCCGCCTCCGCCTCCGCCTCCGCCTCCTCCTCCGCCTCCGCATCCGCCGCCTCCGCCTCCGCCTCCGCCCCCTCCTTTCTTTCCTCTTCCTCCTCCTCTTCTTCCTCCTCTTCCTCATCCTCCTGTTCCTCCTTTTCCTCCTCTTCTCCTCCTCCTCATCCTCCTTTTTCTCTTCCTTCTCCCCCTCCTTCTCCTCATCCTCCTCCCCCTTTACCCTCCCCCCCATCGCGCGCGTCGGCGCTACAGAGCACGTGCGCATTTCAGCGTGCACCGCAGAATGGTCGATTGAATCAAGGCCATTTGCTTCTCGGACGGCCAATTTTGCGGGAGCCTTCTGGACGCAAATGGGAAGAGTTAGGATGACATTGGAAGACTCGGGAGGACTCGTAGATTCATGCGTCCATACGGATTCCAAACCCAATCTAAAACAATTGTTTTTTGTGGAATCCACAGGCGCTCCATTTTGTCATACGGATTCCTTTCAACATTCTATATGCAACAATCAGTGGTGCTCTGTTGCACACGGGTGTTGTGGTGCACACAGGCGCCGTGGCGTACACAGGCGCTGTGGTGCACGCAGGCACGTGGTGTACACGGATGCTGTGCACACAGCTGCTGTGTTGCACGTAGGCTTCATGGCGTACACAAGCGCTGTGGTGCACGCGAGCACTGTGGTGCACACTGGCGCTGTGTTGCACGCGGCTGTTGTGGTGTACATAGGCGGTGTGGTATACACAGGCGCTGTGGTGCACACAGGCACTGTGGTGTACACACCCACTGTGGCGCAGATCACCACCTACATGCTGCTGCTACCCGTCCTGTCATCCCGAGGCACTCCCAGACGCCGCCGGCGCGAAACGTGACGTCATCGGCCCCCTCCCCCCACCCCTCCCAAGTGACGGCCGTCATCGCCCTGGGATAAACCAACTGGCTCTGATCATCCTGAAGCTTGAAATATACAGCATTCCACGCGTGGAGGACGGTCCGTTTTCATTCGGAGGCTCTCGCGTTAGCGCCGCGTACGTTCGTCTTGACAGTTTGAAACAATTTCAAGGAGTGCGGGCGGCTCCTGTTCAAAACGTGGCTCTTGCCTAAGCGCCGCGCGCATTCGTCGTAAAACTGTGCAACCGTTTGAAGGACGCCTTGGTTTGAAGTCCCAGGAATTGTGTTCTGGCACCTTAGCGTAGGATTGACCAGATGCAGCAGTCACGTTGAGTCACGGCGTTGAAGCCCCAGACATTCTGCCCTGGAACAAGTTAAGACTACCAGACAGTGATCGACCTATGAAGAGGGAACTTGCAGGGAGGGGTTACTGTAACATCGTTGATGCAGCTTGGGTTTACTGGTCCTCCTCCTCCTCATCCTCCTCCTCCGCCCTCCCCTCCTGGTAGCTTTCGGGACATGATTCGGGCCTCCAGCAGCCGTTCCGGGCGAACCGAGCACCTCTGGAGCTCTCGGCAAAGCGCAGCTGCCGGAAAGCATCCCGAGGCTGGGAAGCCGCCTGAAGCCGATGAAAACTTTCGGCTTCCCTCCGGGGCAACAAAAAAACTAACAAGAAACGGAGTCCACGGCCGCCACTGCCAGCAGCCCCAGCATCTCGCCCCGCCTGCCCGCGCATCTCTGGCTCGGGCGCTGCTTCATGGGGGGGGCAATGAACGGCGGGAGGGGGAAAAAAGGTGCACCCTTCCTGCACCTTCGGGCCCCATGTCGGGGATCTACAAACCCGGGTCAATCCAAACCTGGGTCAGTCAGGCCTTGCAGGATCCTGCAGGAGCCTGCACCCAAAGCCAGGTCAGTGCACCTGCAGGATCCTGCAAGATCCGCCCATCTGACGGACCCCCGTTTGCCTTGACCCCCGTCTCTGGAGCCCCGACCAGGGGGGGGCTCTCTTTATGCCCTGGGCCCTGTCTGCAGCCCTCGATCCCCCCTTTCATGTACCACCCCCCCTTACGCAACTCCCTCCGCCCTGCCTGCCCCCATTACGCAACTCCCTCCGCCCTACCGCGAGCCCTCGATTTACCACCCACCCATTGCGCAACTCCCTCCGCCCTGCCTGCCCGCGCGCATCTCTGGCGGAGCGGCGTGGTCTTCCGGCTCGCGCGCCCGCTCGGGCGACGCGCCAGGCGGGGCCGAACAGGGCCTCTCAGCACCGCCGCGGCGGGAGCCTCATTGGCCAGGGCGCCCAAGCGCACGGTGCGGGCGGGCACGTCCAGGACTCCCCTCCCTCTGGCGCCCCCTGAGCTCTGCAGGGCTCAGCTGCTCTGCTCCTCCTGTTCCCCCCGCTCCTCCCCCCTCCTCCCTAGATGTTCATTCCCGCCCTGCTTTTCCTCCTCCTCCTCCTCCTTCTCCTCCTCCTCCTCCTCCTCCTCCTCCTCCTCCTCCTCATCCTCCCTCTCCTCCGCCTCTTCCGCCTCCTCCTCCTCCTCTTCCTCCTCCTCCTTCTCCTCCTCGTCGGGTCATCATCATCATCATCATCATCATCATCATCATCATCATCATCATCATCATCATCATCATCATCATCATCATCATCATCATCATCATCATCATCATCATCATCATCATCATCATCATCATCATCATCATCATCATCATCATGATCATCATCATCATCATCATCATCATCATCATCATCATCATCATCATCATCACCATCATCATCATCAGCATCATCATCATCACCATCATCCCCATCATCATCCTCATCATCATCAGCACCATCATCATTGTCATCATGATTATCATCATCATCATCATCATCATCAGCAGCAGCATCATCATCATCAGCATCATCATCATCAGCATCAGCATCTGCAGCAGCATCAGCTTCAGCATCATTATCCTCATCAGCAGCATCAGCATCAGCGGCAGCATCAGCATCAGCATCAGCATCATCATCATGAGCAGCATCAGCATCAGCAGCAGCATCAGCATCAGCATCATCAGCACCATAAGCATCACCACCACCATCACAATCATCATCATCAGCACCACCACCATCACCATAACCATCACCATCACAATCATCATTAACATCCTCATCCTCATCATCATCATCATCATCATCATCATCATCATCATCACCATCATCAAAAGCATCATCAGCAGCATCATCAACACCACCATCATCATCGTCGTCATTATCATCTCATCATCATCAGCATCATCAGCATGGGCATCATCATCATCATTATCAGCATCAGGCCCATCATCATGATCATCAGCATCATCATCATCATCATCATCATCATCATCATCATCATCATCATCATCATCATCGTCATCGTCGTCATCATCAATACGTTCGCCAACGTCCTTCTCCCCCTCTTTCTCCGATCCTTCCCTCTCTCCCCATCCATCCTCATCCCTCCTCCATCATCACCATCATCATCATCATCATCATCATCATCATCCTCATCCTCATCCTCATCCTCATCCTCATCCTCATCATCGTCATCTTCATCGTCATCGTCATCGTCGTCAACGTCAACGTCAACGTCATCATCATCATCATCATCAGCTCTATCATCATCAGCATCATCAGCATCGGCATCAACATCATCATCCTCATCCTCATCTTCATCATCGTCATCGTCATCGTCATCGTCGTCATCATCGTCATCGTCATCATCATGAACATCATCATACTCATCAGCAGCAGCATCAGCAGCATCCTCGCCCTCATCCTCATCATCTTTATCATCATCGTTTTCATCATTTGCAGCATCATCATCGTCATCATTATCAGCATCATCCTCATCACCATCAGCATTATCCTCATCCCTACGAACGCCAACGTCCTTATTCCCCTCTTTCTCAACTCCTTCCCTCTATCCCCATCCATCCGTCCCCCATCACGTCCCGTCTCTTCGACTCCGATAGCCCCGCCTTCCCTCTTTCCGTCCTTCCTCATCCAGGCTGTACGTGTTCCACTGGGATGCAAGAAAATCTAAGATCTTGTCTCTGACTGCAGGCTCTGTCAACGACGGTACGGGTGCATGACATGTGGGACCGGGAGGAGCCAAACAACGTGAAGGATCAAGGCAGGCAAAAGGAAGGAGCGGAGGAGAAGGCGTGGCCAAAGCAGGGACAAGGACAGACTGGGGGAGGCAAATGAAAGGAAGAGAAAGGACTAGGACTAGGACACGGTGGCCTGACTGCGAAGAGGCAGGTCCAAGAAGCAAGGAAAAGGAGGGACACAAAAAGGAAAGGCGAAAGTCATGCGGGTGCTGCGAGGCCCGAGATCAGCAAGCCTCTCCCCTATCCTGACTGACCCCTACCTCCTCCGATCCTTCCCCTCTACCTTACGGTGTTCCGATCGGGAGGGAGGGAGGAGCGAGTATGCCAGACAGAGAAGCCCACGAGGATGATTTCGCAGGAGGCTCCGGGAGCCCTCCCCCACAATGTGGCTCCGACGACGCCCCCCATGCCCCAGATAGGAGCCCTCAGAGGGCCCCAAAACGGACCCTGGAGCCGCGAAAAGGCTCCCATGAGGCCGCCGCCGAGGCCTCGAAGAGGCTCCCAAAAAGCCCCATACCAGACGCGGAGGACGAGGGGTACAAAACAAAAAAAAACTATACGCAAGCAACACGACGGGAAACGGGAAACAGCACATACAACATCGAAAGCCGCCCATATTCTCTTCTCGGAGTTGACGGAATGCCGCAAGCCTCTTGAATAATGTTGGAAACGCTCATTTACCCATCTGCCACATCATACCGAGCATCAGCCATGCCCCTAACCAGCACTGCATCTGCCATAGTGCGCACTACCACATGTGTCTCTTAGTCCGTAACTCGGGGCACAGAACCACGGGAGGCCTATCGGAGCGACAACACAGTCCTGAAACTCCAGGCCAGCAAATCCATCGAAACGGACGGATCATTCCTCGTGCGAGGATGGTGGGGGAAGAACGGGCGGAGGAGGCGGAGGAATGACGGGTACAGACGTAGGGGGTGGGGCTGGGAGGAAGTGCAAGGGGACGGGGAGCGGGAAATACGGGGAGGGGGCCCTCGACAGCGAATCCGCGTGGTCCTGGGCGGAGTGGGCCATTGGGTCCATCTCGGCGATCGCTGGGCGAGTGCAGGTCGATGCGTCCCCCCCTGAGCCCATCCCCCCACTCTCTTGCCACTCAGGGGGGGAGAGGAAAGCGGCGAGGCTTGCTCCGCCCTGCCCCAAGCGGCGCCAGGCGAAGAAGTCGCAGCAGGCGCGCGATGCGGAAGACGGTGGTATCCGCCGAGGCTCTCTCCTCCACAAGCCCGCCAACCCCCTCCTGGAGGTGTCCTCCCCCTTGATGCTGTTGAAAGAAGACACATGTTTGCACCATTTCGGGTTGCGCTGCGAATCGGATGGCACTGCTGCTCCCCCGCGCCCCCGACTTTCAGATTAGTAGTTGTGACATCTCCTGGGGCCCGTCGAACAGCAAAAGAAGATACATCCCATTTCAGCGTGCGCGTCCGCTCTCAATGTTAAGGTCGGGGACGGGGGGGGTCGTATCACCAGTTGTCGTGCCGTCCAGGTGGTGCAAACTTGTTTCTTTCAACCGTGGCAGCACCGAAGCAAGGTCAGCGCATCCCGCGGAGGAGACCGAGCGCCTGAGGAGGTGGCCCAGGGTGGGATGGGAGCAAAGACCAGCCTGGCAACTGAGCCTCAAGACAAAACCTTCAGGGGGCGCCGCTGCGGCCCTCGCGAGCCACCGAAAGCCTGAACTATACCAGAAAGGAAAGGTTGAAGCACACTTCCCTCAATGTCTGCCCTCGAAATAATCGATGTATCATTTGCCGCCCCTGATCTTGCGGTGCTTGCAGAGCCCCTTCCTACGTTGGCATACCTTCCCACTGCCCTTGCGCACGCGCTCGCAGAAGAAGCGCTACAGCGAGCAGCACGAGCAATCGCAGCCCTAACGCCGCACACACACACACACACACACACACACACACACACACACACACACACACACACACGCACACGCACACGCACACGCACATCGCTCCTTTGCCTTGATGGGGAAACTGGGCCAGGTCAGCGTTGACCAAACGCCGGCCCCGCCCAACTATCACATTGAGCTCAAAACAGATGCAGGTGAACCTCTGTGGGCCTCTGTCTGACTGCCTCCATCGCTCTGCCCCCATATACCTCGGCCTCTGTCTCGGCGAACATTCTGCCCCCTACCTCGGAGGCTTCCCTTCAGACTTCACCCGATGCCCTCTGCACCCCCAAGTTCCCTGGGAATCTTCGCAGAGCTCGCCCAAACACTCCGATTACGTCTCCTCCAGGAAATAGGCGGAATGGCGGGTGACCAGTGTATTGGAGCGTCTCGCCGAGGGTCTCGACGAGCCAGCCGGCAACCACTACCATGTCGAACAAATTCCACGCATTGCAGAAAAACCTCAAACGCAATACCATGATTTTGAGAGTCATTTCGATAGTGAATATGACACCGAAGAAAAAACCAAGACCCTCAAATAGATACGTGGCCCCAGGCCACGGGTCAGGATTATGGTAGAACCCGTAGTTGAGAGAGCTGCCCAGCTTAAGACCCTGGTGCTGGATCTCGAACGCCATCTGGATGCCATTCAGTATAATAGCGATACCAATGGCGACCTCGGGAAACCACCGAAGTCGGGCGCACGCTAACATGGATTGCGGATCCGTGGATCTGGCGCGTGGGTACCAGATCCACGGATCGGGGAACGTGCCCCCTGAAACATGAGGTCATTGCCGCCTGACTTGACGACGGAGCTCGCCGAAGCTGCATGGAAGCTGGGCCCGTCGCTGATCCCGTGCCTGAGTGCATGCCTGCGCCTCCCCGAAGGCGGTGCGCCCATACCCGACTGCCGCTCGCCCTCCCCGTACCCCCAGGACGAGGGGAGCGGGAGCGCAGCAGCAGCGGATCGGCAGGCGGACAAGGAAACATCGGCGGCGCACCCTGGGGGGATGTTCGGGGTTCTCTTGCGCCTTCGTCGGTTCTGGTCGGTTTTCTGGCCTCGGGGTGCTGCCCAGCAGCTGCGCCTCGTCGAGAGCGCTCGGGCGGGGCCCGAAGCTCGACTCGTACTGAACAACCGCCGGAGGCCCGAGTTGTGACCCTAAAAGTCAGACTCGGCGGCGTGCCCAGAGGAGGAGGAGGAGGAGGAGGAGGAGGAGAAGGAAGAGGAGGAGGAAGATACAGGGGAGGGCTTCCTCAGAAGGCTCAGAGGGCCTCTGGCCTTCCGAGAAGTCTTCTGAGCCTTCTGCGAAGCCCCGCCGCCCTCTGAGAAGGCCCGTCCCCTCCCTCCCCTCTCCCCACTCGGCGCGTCGCCGAAATAGAGGGAGGGGGAGGAGCTTGGGCTCCGGAGCCTCGAAATGGGTGCTGCCCACGAAGTCGTCCCAGCTAGCCATCGGGGTGGTGGAGCCAGAGACCGCGAACAGCTTCGAGGAGATCCTCCACATGACCTTCTTGTGGAAGCTCTCGCCACCGTGCGACATGCTGTCCTGGAGACTCGGCAGCGATTCCCTCTTCAAGAATGGCCCGAGGAGGGGACTGAAGAAGAAAGGGGCTGGACGGAGGAGGGGAATGAGAAAGGAAAAGGAGGAGGGGGAGGAAGAGGGCGAGACCGTCACCACTTGCCAAGAAGATGGGTGACGAGAAGGAAAAGGCTAGAGGAGAGCACCGTGCAGAGAGAGGGCCAGGACAAGGATGAGCAGCAGCAGCCGCAGCTGAGACGAGGACGTGGGAGGAGAACGAGGAAGGCGAGGAGGGCATATACCGCACAACTCTTGAACTTAGCACAACTCGTCGCTGCGCTCAGCACCCAAGTCATGAATCTCGAGGCTTGTGCCAAGGACGTGAGGGACGCCATGAGGGAGACATCCTGGGAGCGAAATCCGCCAAGAGAAAGTACTTCCTGTCATGGCGTGGAGAAACTGTTGGACCAACAGTGCTCCAGGTGTCAGTGCGCGATGGCCCGCAATGCACCTTTACAGAGGTCTGCACTGAGAACCGTTCAGACCAGCTAAGTAGCCCGCCCCTCCAGGTGGCAGCACACACTAGCCATCAGCGCATCCCTCACAAGGGAGCATGAGCTGCATAGCCGTGCGGACCAACAGAGCTGCCTCGTTCTGCCAAGAGGCAGTGTGCGTTTGCCCTGGACGCACCGTTCTCAGTGCAGCGTTGGTGCATCGGCCTGACCCACTGGGCCGCCTCCCCCCACGTGGAGAGGCTAGACTACACCGCCCTCTGCTCACGAATGTCGACACTCGCTGCAGGCAAAACGACAACCGCGAGGCAGAAATCCTGCAGCATAGATGAGCCCGCAGCGCCTCGCGTTGCCGACGCTCCCGGCTCCCCTACTAATAGAACCTGTGCCTGTGCCGCCACTTCCGCCGCTTCCGCCAACGGATCGGCCGCGAAGGCACCAGGATTCGGCGGCACGCCCAGGGGGGGAAAGTCTACACGCTCTGGCGTGCTCGTCGGTTTCCAAAGGTTTTCCAGCCTTGAAGGCCTCTCCAGCAGCTGCGCCTCGCCGAGACCGTCCCTGGGGGTACCCGAATCGTCCCGAACAGCTGCCGGGAGCCCAAGCTAGGACTCCCGAAGGCCTGCCGCCGCGCGGGGGGGGGAAGGGGGCGGGCCTGTTCGAAGGCTCCAACGGCCTCTGCCTCTGGTCTTCTGCGGAGCTTCCTGGGCCTTCTCCGAAGCCTCGCCGTCCTCCGAGAAGGCCTGCCCTTTTCTCCTCCCCCCTCCGCGCGCCGCCGAGTCTGGTAAATGCTGGTGTTCGGGGCCCTGCTCTACACTACCGTGCGGTCAAGAAGCTCCTCGCGCTAGCTGTAAGGTCACATGGGCGGTCTCACCAATCTCGTCGTGCTTCTCCGGAGCTGAGTCCAGGATAGAGCTCGAGAGGATGTTCACCCTTGGCGAACTAGGCACCGAATCAAAGCGTTTGTGGATTCGGATTCCCGCAGGCGGCAACGACGTCGGATAGCCCAAGTGGCTCGACGATTGCTTGTCGATTCGCCGTCACGGGCGACTGCGGCGTGAGCCCGCTCGCGAAACGTCGCACATCGCGATGACATGCTCGACATACCTGAACAAACAACGCTCGAGCTCGCAAGTCTCGAGAATATACTGACATAGATACATCAGAACTGAAACAATGAATAATAATGTATGTGGCGACTGGGTGCCGGTAGCATGCGCGACGCGCTTTGAAGTAGCACAGAAGTACGGTATCGCGCTATTCATGCGATGGGCTGTGTAGTAAGAACAACAGCCTGCTTTCAAAGCTTGACGGCCCAAGAGGCCTCCGAGAGGTCCTCCAGGAGGGCCTGAAGAGGCTAAAATCATTGATATTATTTTGGTGTTTTAAGGTTTGTCGTATTTGCTCCTTTTCGTATTTCCGATGACCCAAGACGGCCCAAGAGGCCCTAAAGATCGCCCCCACAGCGCCCAAGAGGCATCCACGATGGCCTCAGGACTGCCCAAGAGGCCCCAAGACGGCGCGAAGAGGGCACAAAGACAACCCAAGAGGCCTCCAAGACTCCCAAGATGGCCTCTAGGACGGCCCTGGAGCATTCCAAGAGGGGCCCAAATCGGCCTAGAAAGGCACCCGAAACGGCTTCCGACGGCGTCAGACGGGCCAGGAGCCCACCAAAATGGCCGAAGTTGGCTCGAAGCCGGCCCAAGACGGCCAAAGAGGCCTCCAAGAGGGCCTCCAGGAAGGCCAGAAAAGGCCCAACACAATGGTTTTCCTGAGGTTGTTTGTTTAAATCTCTCTCTCTCTCTCTTTCTCTCTCTCTCTCTCTCTCTCTCTCTCTCTCTCTCTATATATATATATAGATATAAGGTTTTGATATTTGCTTCTCGTCGGCCTTCCGACGGCCCGAGACGGCCCAAGATCCCCAAAGATCACCCAAAGATCGCCCAAGAGACCTCCAAGATGGCCTCAGAACGGCCCAAGAGACACAAAGACGGCCCCATGACCCAGGAGGCTTGTAAGACGCCCAAGATGGCCTCCAAGACGGCCCTGGAGCATTCCAAGAGGCCCCGAAGACCGGCCCAATATGCCCCTTCAAACGCTTCCGACGATCGTCGGACGGGCCATTATCACCACCAAAACAGGCCCGAGAGATTGGCCCCTCAGATGCCCAATACGCCAAGAGTGCCCTCCAAGAGGGGCCACCAGAAGCCCGAAAAGCCAAAAACATGATTTCCCAGCGATTTTCGAAGGATCGTGGCATTTGCTTCGTCGGCGTCCTACCGACAGCCCAGAACGCCCAAGAACCCCCAAAGATCTCCCAAGAGTGGCCCAAGACTGCCCCAAAGGCCCCGATGACCCCAAGAGGCCTCGAAGACCACAAGAATGGCCTCCAAGACGCCCAAGAGCGCACCGAAGAACGTCCTCCAAGAAGCCCGAAAGGGTCAAAATGGCCTCCAGACGGCCAAGATGACCTTCAAGATGCCCACGTGTTCCCCGAAGGCTTTCCAAACCCATTCGGGGAACACATGGTCCGATAGCTTGGCAGGTCTGGCCTCAACGTTTGGCCACACTGGCGCTTCCAAAGAGGCAGGGGGCGGCGGTGTTTCGCCGTAGGCGTCTTCGATCCGCCGCCCCCTGTTGATTCATCGCAGGGGTGCCTGGCGTGTTTCCACTCTTTCGCTTTTGGTTCTTTTCCAAAAGGACGCCTCCTGAGGTTTCGGCCCGTCCCGCCGGAGATGCGTAACGTGTGGTTGCAGAGGGTGTTTCGGCTCCAGACGGCTCCAAGATGGCCTCCAAGATGGTCAAGATGGCCCAAGATGGCCTCCAAGTTCGTCCAAGATGGTCCAAAATGGCATCGAAGACGACCCAAGAGAGTCCAAGATGCCCCCAAGTTCGCACAAGAAACCTCCAAGACGGCCCAGGACGGCGCAAAGGGCCTCCAAGAGGCCTCCAAGACGGCCCAAGAGGCCTCGAAGAGTTCCTCCAGGACGTCCCGAAGAGGTTAAAATAAGTGTTTGTGTCAATGGTTTTTGAAGGATTTTGGCTTTTGCTCCGTTTCGGCCTTCCGACGGCTCAAGACGGCCCAAGAGGCCAGCAAGATCGCCCCTAAGAGCGCCCAAGAAGCCTCCAAGATTGCTCCAGGACGCCCCAAGATGCCGCCAAGATGGCCCAAAGAGGGCCCAAAGACGACCCACGAGGCCTCGAAGACGCCCAAGATGGCCTCCGAGACGGCCACAATGGCCCCAAGTGGGCCCAAGAAGGCCCCTAGATGTTTCCAAGACGGCCCAAGATGCACCCAAGACTGCCCAAGATGGCCCAAGACAACCCAACACCTCCCAACAGGCCGCCAAAACAGTCCAAGAGAGCCCAAAGAGGCCCCAAAAGAGAGCCCCAAGAGGCCAACATCATTGTTTCGCTGTAGGTGTTTGAAGGATCAGGGGGGCTGCTCGTTTGCGGCCTTCCGACGGCCCAAGACGGCCCACGAGGCCATCAAGATTGCCCCGAGAGCGCCCAAGAAGCCTCTAAGACTGCCCCAGGATGGCCCAAGAGAGGTCTTCAGGACAGCTCAAGATGACCTTTAAGACGGTCACGTTGGCCCAAGATGGCATCCAAGATGGCCCAAGATGGCTTCCATGTCCGCCCAAGATGGTCCACGATGTCCCCAAGACGGCCCAAGAGAACCCAATATGCATTCAAGTTCGTCCAAGAAGTCCCCAAAACGGCCCAAGATGGCTCCAACATTGCCCTAAGACTGCCCAAGAGAGCCCAAAGAGCCCTCCAAGAGCTCCACCAGGAAGACCCGAAAGGACGACATGCATAGATGTTCCTCTTGTGGCCTCCAAGATGGCCCCATGACAGCCCAAGAGAGCCCCGAAAGGGCCTCAAGATGCCCCCAAGATGGCCCAAAGAGGGCCCAAAGGCGGCCCAAGATGGCATCCAAGACGGACAAGATGGCCTCCAAGATGCCTCCAAGTCGGGCGAGAAGGCCTCCAAGACAGCGAAACGTGCCTCAAGATGCACCCAAGACGGGCCCCAGATGGCCTCAAGACTGCCTTAGACTGCCCAAAAGGCCCGTAAGAGGCTTCCACGACGGCCCAGGAGACCTTCAAGACGTCCTCCAGGAAACCCGAAAACTCAGAAACCACCTGGTCCGATAGCTCGCCCGACTCCGTGTTTCCCGAAAGCTTTCGAAACCCACTCGGGGAACGCGTGGCCCGATGGCTTGGCTAAGCTGAAGCCCAGCTTTCGGCCTCGCAGTCGCTTCAAAGGCGGGGGGCGGCGGCGATTCGCCGTAGGCGTCTTCGATACACTGATTGGCACGGGTCTGCCAAGGGCGGGCCAGTCCCACTCCTCAGAATCCGCCGAACACTGGCGCTTGTCCAGCACGCTCGACCGCTCGGAATCCCGTCCTTGGCGGCAGGCGGACCAAAAAATCTCCTACTGGACTTGCGAGTTGCTACCCCTCCCCCACCTCTCCCTCCTGCATCTTGTCCCCGCGCACTCCTCCCATCCCGCCTCTCCTCTTCGCGTGTTCATATTTCCTCTCCTCACCCGCCTGCTGCTGCGGTTCCTCCTCCTCCTCCTCCTCCTCCTCCTCCCCTTGCAGGGCATGTACGTTTTGTCCTCGAGTGAGCTTGGTCCAAAGTTGGTCATGATGTGCAGAGAGAGAGGGAACGAGAGATACACGTAAACTAGGACAGGGAGGCAGAATAACAAAAATCCGCTACTGTGCCTCCCTGGCAACTTGACGCGTGGTAGAATGCCAAGTGCTGTCTCGAACGGTTCCTGTACTCTTTTAAGGGGCACCCACCTCCTCTGGACCCGCCTCGCTGCGGCCATGCCCCCGAGGGCCCCGAGTCGCCGAACGATCGCTCGAAGACGCCCAAGATGGCCTCATGATGGCGCAAGAGGCTTGCAAGGCGCCCCCACAGGCAAAACTCATTTTAGATTTGTTGTAAGAATTTGGGCGGTCTCGCCTCTCCGGCTTCCGACGTTCCAAGACGGCTCAAGAAGCCCCCCAAGACCACCCCAAGACAGCCCAAGAGGCTTCCAAGAGGGCCCCAAGACAGCTCAAAAACGACCCAAGACGGCCCAACAGGCGCCCGAGACGGCCCCAGGAGGCCCCCAGGAGGCCCAAACATTGCCTCCGAAAGGCACCCCCGAGAGGCCTCCCACGAGATTCCGACGAACGCCCACAAAGCTTACAACACACAACCCACGCACGGTGGTTGGGCTTGGAGTGAAAACACACACACACGCACACGCACACGCGCACGCGCACGCGCACGCGCACGCGCACGCGCACGCGCACACACACACACACACTCTCTCTCTCTCTTTCGTCGGCAACTAGGCAGGATCACCGCACATACATACATACACACATACCTGTTTGCGTCGGCCGCTAGGCGGAAGGCGACTGCTCCAGCGGATAGGCAACAAAGAACACGCTGCATGCAAATGAAGGCCGCAATGCACGGAGAAGGTAGAGTCCCAGCGCGACAGGAAGTGAGGAAGCCGGGCCCACTCAGGCGAGCCGCCGGCCGCGGCACGGGAATCGCCGAGGGGGGGAACCAGCGTCGGCACTGAGCTGCAGTGAGCTGCACTGAGCTGAAGCTGGGGGGGGAGCAACCCAGCAGACTGGGCGGCCAGTGGGGGAGCACCACAAGGGAATCAGAGACTCGACCCAGTGAACTGGTAGGCGCGGCCCCAGGGATGAGCCATAACGCCGAGACCTGGGGGCCTACGAGGCGCGGCGGGGGGCGAGAGGCAGAAGCGGGCAGGCGCAAGAACGCCAAACGGGCGCCACCGTGGCCCAGCGAGCAACGGGGCGGGCGACCCAGACAAGGGCCCATTCCTGGGGAGCGGCGCGGAGCAGAGGCCGCCAGAGGAAGGCGGGCCAGCAGACCGAAGGGGGCGGGCAGAGGGCCGAGACCAGGGGGCCTGCGAGGCGCAGGGCATGGGCGCGGGGCGGCGACGACTCAGCGATGCGCCAAATGCAGCAAACGCGAGCCGGTGGGCGAAGGAAACAGGAGGGGCCACGCCAAATGGGAGAGCGCCGGGCCCAGGGAGAGCAGGAGGCAGGGCGAGCGCCACGCACGCACGCACGCACGCACGCACGCACGCACGCACGCACGCACGCACACACACACACACACACACACACACACACACACATATATATATATATATATATATATATATATATATATACTACTAGAATACTAGAACCACGCGCGCGCTGCGCGCGCGCTTTGGTTCTAGCAAGATGTGGCGACGGTCTACGGTTCGCAGCATCGGAGAGCAGAAAGACTTCTATCAATCATGATCAATCAGCAAACCGCACCATCCCTCTATGCCCCCACGGATGCACGCCATGAGCCCCAGTCGACCTTAATCCTGCATTCTCCTCTCAGCAAACCCTCTCAATCCCTTTCCTTTCCACACCCTTTTTGGCGGACCAATGGAATCACATTCCACGCGGCAGAGGAGCTGTTGCGGGCGCGGTGGACGAATTCCACTCGGCATGCAACGCGAAAAAGTATGTTCGTTGTCGACGCGGTGGACGTGTTCCACTCGGCGTGCAACCATGAAACATACAGAGGGCCGCAGGTCGAAATAGGATTCCGCATGATCCCACTTCAGCTGCCTACATACCCTTTGTTTCATTCCCAGGGGGGCGCCTCGAGAAAACAACTCACACACGTACAGCAGCAGCTCGTGTGTCCACCGGGGGGAGGAGGGGGGGCGGGCCCCAGTGCTTAATCAACCCGGTTGAAGCAGCCGCTTTAAGCAGCCAAGATCTGGTCTTTGGGGAGGAGGGAGCGGGGGCCCGCGCCGATCGGCGAAACAAGACATAAGAAACAGCTACGTACCTCTCAAGACGGCTCAATGGGCCCGATTTCGGCACACCCCTCACGCACTCTACGCCTATCCAAGGCCTAGACGACCCAGAGCGTCCAAGGCCCACCTCAAGCAAACCCAATGTCTCGGCATTCCCACGAATTATGGCAATGGAGCGAAGCTTCCGCGCGTTGAGCGGAAGTTCAAGCTCAAGCTAAAAGAGAACTATAAAATGGAGCGAAGCTTCCGCGCGTTGAGCGGAAGTTCAAGCTCAAGCGCATACAGCTGGACTTCAAATAATTTGGATCGAAAATGGACGCTCACAGCGAAGGCAGAACATCAAGCTCAAGCTAATGTGAAGGGGAGCCCCAGGTTGCCGTGGGCCTGCAGAAGGTGGGTCTCCTTTCTGCGGTCCAGGCGGCGCCAGAGCACCGCTCCCCTCGGATCCTGCCCAATGCCAGCCCACGAACCCCCAGGCCTGTCCAAGGTCAGCCCGACGGCCTATCCAATGCCTGCCTCAGGCTTACCTGGCGGCCTTTCAAGAGCTGATACATGGCCTACCCAGAACCCAGTGAAGGCCCGCACACGACCTAGCCAAGGCTCATCACAGATTTGTCACGTCCAAGATCTTTACAAATTTTACGTCTAGCGAACCACATGCGAACGCCGCGAATGCGAACACCCAAATGCGCGCGATCACCGTGCCCGCGCTCGTCTTACAACCGCGACGAAAATCTTTACAACGATGGGCTGTCGTGAAGGGTTCTATGGTGCGCCCACCTTCGTCGTGCAACCACCGCGCAAAATTTGCCAACACTGGGCCACCCTGAAGGTTTGAACGGTACGTGCCAAAAAAAATCGACAACGAAATAATCGATCCGACGGTCTTCCCAGTACCGCGGCGACTGCCGGGACTGATCCGAGTATTCGCTTCCTTCGTGGCGGCCCTGAAAAAAAGCACACCCACCTCAAAAAGCCAACGTCTCGCGTGAGATATCCCCGAATGCTGACCGCAAGTGGGCCAATGTCCCACCCCGTGGTCGCTCCCCATTGTGGCGCCCAGCAACGTTTGTTGCGACATCGCGAACACCACGCGGCCCTGAAAAAGACGCGCCTACATCCGTGAAACAAGCGAACCGCTGGAGACATCCCCACAATCTGGGCACGAACCGGTAAGTGTCCTAATTATCCCCTGGCGGCACCCCCTTGTGTTGCCCAAGTGCGAGGCCTGTCACATCGCGATAATTCTGATCGTGATATGGAAAAGGAGGGAGGAGGAGGAGGAGGGAGTGAGTAGACGGAGGCGCGACACGGATAACAAGAATTCACGACGCAAAACACGGAAATAAACGCCGCAACATATTCCACGAGACGTGCAACTGCCAGCACAATGATCCGTTATCACCGTCGCACCCTTGATCCGCACGCGTTCGACGGAAACTGGCGGCAATCAAACTGGCCCAATCTGCCAGGGCATCGCTCGTGGGGGGAGGGCCTCCTCGCCTCGGGCTGCTCTCCCGCAGCCGCGCCCCGCCGTCGACGGCGAGCGCGCGCCTTGTGGGTGCCCTGACCGTCCCGGGCGGCCGCCGCAGGCCCGAACGTGCGTTTGATTCGCCCATGTCGTCCAGCCCGCCCATCTGAACCAAGAAAGCCGGTTTCTGCTGAGACATCCTCACGATTCGCTCTTAAACTTAAGCTGGCCACGGCGTGCAGGTGACGCTGGCGGTGTGCTGCACGCGCCGAGGCGAGAGCGCCGTTTGGACGGACTTTCGGCCATTGTACGGTTCGGCCCGCATAGTACGCTATGTTATCAATGCGAGGCTAAGCTATGCGGTGTGATGCGATGCGATACTATGCTGTGCGATGCGATGCTATGCTATGCTATGCTACGCCATACTGTGCCATGCGATGATATGCTAGTAGTATATGCGACGCGATGCGATGCGATGCTATGACATGCTATGCGATGCTATGCTATGCTATGCTACGCGATGCTCGTCTATGATGTGTTGTGCGATGCTATGCGATGCTATGCTATGCTCTGCTGTGCGATGCAATGCTATGTTGTAGCTCCAGTTGGTTCCCCTTCCTCACCCCCACCGCCACACGCACAACCTCTTTATCACCCGAAGGGTGGTCGTACATGTAAGTATACACTGGCAGGATCTCGCGGCCAGAGATACAACCGCCTCGCGCACACTTGCCTGGAGCGGGGAGGGATGGGGAGGAATCTGGGAGGAGCGGGGAGGGGTGCAGAGTGAGGTGTCTTGTGGGCCTCTTGGACTGTCTCAGAGCGCTCTGGGATCCACAGGCGCCTACGGAGGTCGTCTTGGAGGGCTCTGTGGGACGTTTTGGGGCGATCCTGGGAGCTTCTTGGACCGTCTTGGAGGGCTTGTTGGGATGTCTTGCGGCGCTCTTGGGGTTCTCTGAGGCAGTCGTGGACGCTATTACTACAAAGCGCATATGCCCAAAATAGACGCTTCCCAAAGGAATTAGGGCGATGTGTGTTCCTTGCGGTCCTCATAAGTATCCTCGTGAAGCCCTCTTCAAGCGCTTGGGGGGCCTC